ATACACTGTAATCAGTTCAGACCACATAATTAGAAACACAAAGCAGTTTACTGAAACATAGTGATATATTAAGAGTTCAGTTAATTACACGTAAAGAAACAAGTCAGACTTCAAAACCCTTACTCAGTTTCTATTTTATTTGCAACTAGGGCATGTTGATGGGACTTTGCCTGTTTAACATTGAGTAGGAGTTTCAGAATTTTAACCTGAGGGTAAAATTTTCAAAAGCATTTAAGTGACTGGCTCACTGAAAATCAATAGGACTTTCACTCCTTAGGGCAACACTTTAGAAAGTACGTAGATACTCAAGTCCAGTTGACTTCAGTGTCTATGTGCATTAAAAAAAAAAATAAAATCTATATTTATTGCCCTAAATCTCTTTAAAATAGAGGTGTTACATTTTGGTGTCATTTAAGAGTTTCCAAAAATGTTATCCTGAGTGGACAAGCTGTTATTCTCTTTTTTTGTTTTCTTTGGAAAACATATTTGCTTTTTCTTCTTCAACACATGCGGAAATCATAAAACTTGTTTTGGATGATAAGCCACATTGTCTTCAATCTTGTGTTAAAATCTTACTGCAAATGCTTAAGAAGAGGTGGCAATTATAATTAGCACGGACAGTTCTTCATTCTACTGTACGTTTTCCTAGAATTTTTTAAAAAAATTAGATATTCCCCCTTTTCAGTGTCTTTTTTAATAAAAGTGATAAATCACTTCCATTGAAGCCACAGTCTGACCTAAATTATTCTGTCTACATTATGTATAAGAGCAAGTAGAGAAAAAATAAAATTGTAATACGGCATCTTAGAGAGACGAAGGCATAAATCAGAACTAATTAGTCATTCTCCCTAATAAGAATATATGTTATGTTTTCCATTTAATCTCTCAAATGTAATTTCATTAGAAAATTAAAAAGTGTCTGTCTAGAAAAACTTCTGTCTTTATAGAAAAAAGTATTCCAAAAATCTTTGGTTTTAGAATTTGCAGCATGGGGACATATCTTGGTTCTCTAACATGTTTTCTGTATGAGCTTTAAAATTATGCTAACTTGTTGCACAACAGCTTACAAGTTCTCAACAGTTGCACTTATTACAATTTTACCTCACTTTCAGACAAGTTCTCTTATCATCCTCCAAATCACATTTTATGCTGCTTTGAAGTGCATTACTAATATGCTTATTGCTTAACAGAAAATAGCCTGACAGTCATTTCTGTTTTAAGGTGCAAAGTAATAAATGTCAGTTTCTTTTTTGCAGTCATTTATCTGAGCCTATACTTACTCTCAAAGTATCTGCCTTTGAAAACAAGTCAGAAGTGCAGTGCTCTAATGGTCTTTGGGATTAAAAAAAAAAAATATATAAAACCAAACTGTCAACCTTTATTTCCATGGTGCCTTCATTCTAATTTTGGCCTTTTCCTGTCATTGTTAAAACAGGACAGGCCTAAGTTTATGAAAAATTGAGGATTCCTTCTTATTTTGTGCATGTGCAGCGATCATGTGATTTGCAAAGACAAGGCTCTCTGACAGTCATTTGTACTTGTCAGTGCATACCCTTCTATTCCCTGTGGCTGTTTTGTGCTGCTAGACAGGTGTGTGCACTCTGCACAAAACTTTGCCCTTTGGACATCATTATAGTGTCTAAGAAACATGGAGGATGGGATCCTGACAGACTTATAAATGACCATAAAGAAGTGAATTCTCTTCTGGGATCTTTAGGGAATGTATGCCTAATTCTACATCCATTGAGAGAAATGTGTTTTTTCCATCACAGAAAATGGAAAAGGCAAGAGTTAAGGTGTGTATAACCCTGGATACCATCCTCTCTGAAGCATGATGGATGACTATACCACTGTGTTTAGGTTCACTCAGAAGCAAGGCTGTTACGACAAGAGGAGCAGTTAAGTTGAAAAAAGTGTGTAGTTAAATGTAGCACTTTATTTCTGGGTATATGTTGTACAAACATTTAAATTAATCTGGTTAATTAATCTGCCCTGTGCCTTCCCAACAGTCACCTTTCAACAGTCACCTGACTAAACAATGGCCTTTACACCATGCCAAGTAGTTGAACAAAGCTCTCTTGGATCCTTAGGAGCAGTGAAATCCAGTCTCCTGGACCTTTCACACTGAGCATTTTTCACTGAGCACCTTTCACTGGAGTGTCTCCAGACACTCAGGTACAGTCAGTGTGCCCCAGCTGATCTTGAGCATCACAATGGAAGATAAAGGAGATAGAATTTATTGCCTAGGACTCAAAGCATATAGGGTTTTATAGATCAATAAGAACATCCTGAGTTATGCCCAGAGGCAAAAAGGAAGCCAGTACAGACTTCAAAGACCTTGTGTAATATATTCCTTATGGCCAATATTACAGATTAAGCAGAGCAATCTTCTAAACAAACCATTGAATCTGACTAGAATGAGGACAGACATTGTATAAGTCTGTTTTGGAAGCTACAATGGTAACTTACAGCCTTCACCTTTGTGAACTTATCACAACATCTAACTAATGATAGCAAAAAATATGTAAAGTCTGGGAACTCGTTCTGAGCTAAGCAACAAGAAACACCTTTTGATTCTGAAGTTCATTGTGGAAGAATGACCAAATTTGACTGACTAGAATCCCTTCCTCTCGAGCAACTTCTAATCTCTCTCAGGGAGACTCAGAAAAAGTGGAAGACTGCAAGCTCTAGGTTTGATTAAGAAAGTATAAATCAAATTAACTGACAAACTCCTCAGAAGCCTGCTTACCTCTCAAAGCATGGAAGCTGACAGTACTGACCAAGGAACTGAAATTATGATATTTTCATACCATATTTTTAACAAGTGGAAAATACAAATAAAATTAAAATAATGTCTACTCTGTGTCTAGTGCACAGAGTAAAATGAGGTAATCTGTATTCTCTTTCCTGTGGTAAATTCAGGGCCAAACTTTTCCTTTACAAAGGATGTGAGAGGCTTGTCTTGAGGTCTTCCTTCTCCAAGTGACAAGACCAAGAGATCTACGTGACGAACTTAATGGTTTCAAGTAGACTAAATTTGAAAGGATGACTTTTAGCTTTCATTGAAAGCTGAAAAGACTTAGCAAGCTCCTTGTAGACCCAGTTCTATAACCACTCCAAAGCCCCATTCATTTGCCCTGTGAGAAGATTATATGCCTTATTTCAAAGAAAACAGTTTTCAAGGAAACTTCTGACTTTCTTAAGTCTTGTCTAATGTGGGAAAATCTCTACTAGGAAGAGGTCTCCTGACTCGTACACACAGGTACTGTGGATAACTGGAAAATTGGTTCCATGCTTTTAATTATAGTGGCTCAATTCAACACAGAGACTATCCTGCAGGGAAGGTGAGATATGTGAAGATCTTTATGATTTGTGAGTATGAGAAAAAATGAAGTAGGACCTGAACATCAACAAAGTAGACCTTTGGTTCACTGCTATTGAAAAAAAAAAAAAAAGAAAAGCTCAAATATTAATGGTCTGTAATGTACATATATTTTTTGATATTTGCTTAAGAAAACTTTTTTTTTCAAGGGAAGGTAAAACACACATCTTTGCTTTTGTGGTTGAATTAGATGTTCCATGAGAGTGGAACTTGCAGCTCTGTCAGGGGATAGCAGTGATCCCACTCCTCCATACATTACTCTGCTGAAAGATCTCGCTCTGCCTTGCAACATTCTTGTTATTCCAGAACTGGGTTGGGCTAGTCATAATAGATGCAGGCAATCAACTCAACTTCCCCACACACAGCTCTGCCAGTAAAACTCACTTCACCTTGCAACACTCCTGTTTTTCCTGTGTCCTTTAAGCAAAAGCTATCAATTTGGCACTTACTGTGGATCTGTTCTTACTCCTGCTGAAATCCAGGATAACTTTCTTAGTGATGCAAGAGGAAAGTGTTGCTGATGCAGACAAACCTCTGCTTGTGACTAGGATGAAACAAAGTTGTCTTCTCTGAATGACTGAGATTTTGATCCTGGCAGTAGAGGTAACTAACCTCTGTTCCACTTCTGCTTTTATTACAGCAATAAAATCCGGTATGACTATAGATATCAACTCAGTTACTGAGTGTGTAAGCGAGATTAGAGTCTAACCTTTACATAATGTGGCCCTCTGCAAGGTTGTGTTTTTTCCCAAGAAAAAGGTTCCATTTAATTAGAACGCTAGACCTTTCAGTGTTGATCACTGTTGTTTTATTTATAGCAAAAATCTATAGAACATTCACCAGTATATAGACAAGCATTGACCTACTGGCAGCATCTCAGTTTACACTAGTGTTTGGTTTTGGGCCATGTAATTTTATGTAAAATCAAGTAACTGCCTGACACAGTAAAACTGTGCCAAAGTAAGGATTATTCTTCTGAAAATTTGAAAGAGATTTGCATGTTTTCTCTTTGTTTCCTTTATCACATGAAATAATGCATTAAAAATATAAGAATGCTCTAGGCAACGTACAAAACTAAAAAAAGACTAGTTTGGTGAATGAGCATGGTGAGAGGCTATGAATATGGATATGTTTGTACTAAGAGCCTAGAGGAGATACTTTTTATGTGGTGATACAGAAATACATACTTGTAACTTTGCACACCAGGGAGAGAACATTCCTCTAAACCAAGCAATTTCTTTTGCAGTGCTCCCTGTTGATCAAAGCTGCATAATTTAAAGCATCTAGAGGCAGCTTTAAATTATTCACAATATTTTTTTAAATGATCTTGGTATACTGCAGACAGTATTTGTGTAACTAGCAGTCTTCTTTAAGTTCTATAAATTTTTGCATCCTTACAGAGCTCATCTCAGTTTGAGAAGACAGTATGAAACTTCGCATAAGAGGAGCAAGAGAGACTCATTCTGACACCGTGTTAGTCACATCACACAAAAGTGCCAGGCACATGGGGCTACAGGGAATGGCAGAGTAGACACGGTCGTCTCTAGGTCTCAGTCCGAATTCTGCTGTTTGATGGTGCCTAAGAGTTTTCTGTATACCCTCAAAAGCCCCAAATAGGAATCCTGCAATTAGTGCATCTAACTCCTCCTTTACTGCAGTCTTCTCTCCTATTGGTGAAAGGTCTTCGCAGCTCATGTAGGGATCCCACCCCTTTTGTGGGTTTTCATTCTGAAGCTATCCACAACTTTACACCTGAATGAATGCCAAACCTCCCTGAATATATAAAGGAAATCTTCAAGAGCAATTGCAGAGTTACCCAGAAGAAGCAGAAGGAAAAGATTTCATCCAGCTCTGTCAGACACAGACTGAACCAGCCATGCTTCTCCCTGCCATTCACTTCTATGGCTTTCTCCTGACTTTCATCTTCACGAGAAGCTACTTGGCTTTCAAGAACGATGCCACAGAGATACTTTATTCACACGTCGTTAAACCCGCTGCAGCGAGCCCAAGCAGCAACAGCACGTTGAATCAAGCCAGGAACGGAGGCAGGCACTACACCAGCACTGGATCCGACCGTAACAGTGAGTATCCCACCGGCGGTACTTCCACCGCGTCCCGCAGCCCCGGGCGGCAGCTGCGCCCGTCCCAGTCCCGGTCCCGGAGCCCCCGACCGGAGCCGCGCATCCCGCCCAGCGCCCCGTGCTCCCCCCGGCCCGAGCGCGGCGCTCCAGGGAACCGGCGCCTGGGGGGAGCCGGGGCGCGGGGAGATGCTGCTGGTTCCGGGCCGGGATCTGCCTCGCCAGGCGGCCCCCGAGCCAACAGCCCGCCCTCCCCCGTGCTGGGGAGTCCTGTAGGACCGGCTCGCTCGGCCAGGTTACTTCCTGAGGGAGGTTCATCCAGGAATGCCGCGTTCTGTGGGTTATCCGACAGGGAAGCTAGATAAAGGAAGAGGGGTGAAAGGCATTTCCAGAGCGCTCGCTTTCTTATCTCCCACTACGAGCAGGGAAGGTGTCTGAGCTACTTTTCAAATGCAATGAAATACTCTGAATTTCGTTCCCGCTGTTTGGTTTTACTTCCTGCTATAGCTCTTAACCGCTTAACACCTCCAGCAAATGTAAACAAATCAGCTTATAATTTACCTATGATCTCTGCTCTAACTTGCCTTTTTATATCTAGTCTTCTCCTGCTGAGTTTTATGTATATATGTCAGATACACGGGGATCTGGAAACCTGCTGACTTTATCTGTTCCCTCCCCTGCCCACCTCCTCAAAATAAAACAAATCCAAACAGAGAAACATACACACACCAACCCACAACAATTCGATAAAAATAGTCATCCCTGGAAAGTGAAGGCAACAAGTGACACCAATACCTTTCAGCTAAGCCAGGTGTGTCAGCTTCTGTGAATGCTAAGGTTTTAAGCACACAGGAAACATCTCATCATTATAAGATTACTGGGAGCAGCCCAGTAGGTATTCGTTGTCAATGAGCTGTCACTGGCAAAAAGCTGAGCCAGGAAAGACAGAAAAACAGGAGACAAACTTAGATCTGTGACCAGCTGCTTCCAGGTACATTCCTGCAAGGCAAGGCAATCAGGACAGCAGCCCTGTCACTAGTCCCTGGGGTCAGCCTGCAGATTTACAGTCCCTCTGCCTGCCCACCATGAGACACAGGGGATAGGGTGAAGTAATCTTAATGCAGTGTCTCTGTTCAGAATTTGCTTCCAAAAATCCAAGTAGAAACAGAAGCAGCCTGTAGCTGAGATATGTAGATGTACCTTCAAAGCCTTTTATGATTCATTCTGAAATGTTTCTAGTAATTACTTCTATTTTAAAAGCGTTAGTTAATTGCATTGTGTGTAGAATCCGCGCCGTAATTGTCCTTCAGAAAGAGGGAGAGCACAGCCAGTAAAGATTGCTTATTAAAATTAAGAGCGCTGTGGGCGTTTATTTCAAAGTGTAATTACTGAAATAAACAGTTGTGTTTATTGCAGGGAGTGCAGAGCCGCACATATAGACGGGTACAAACATGCCTGTATGAGAAGCTCTGCATGTTGATTCTGTCAGTTGCCTGAGAGAATTTGCAGGATCCTCTATGTAACATATAACATACAGACTACTACAGATACAAAGATGGTGTTATCCTGAGGGCAAAATGACCCCTCTGAAATTGTTACTGCTAATCATTCAAATGTCATAGGCAGCACCCCATTCCCTGGTAACTTCAGCTGTTACCACTTCTGCAGTATCTGTGTTTGAGGCCACAGAGTTCATGGGAGACTCAGTCCACTGTAACCATGGAATGAGAAGACACACACTGTTTGAAATTCATTTAGAAGCATATAAAAACCATTTCCAAAGCATTATTTTCCCCCTTGCTAATGATCCAACATAATTGTGAACATCACAGAGCAGATTCCCTAGATTGAGAACAAACAGGAAACATTTCTTCCCTTGGGGCATTTTTCTCTTCTAAAAGGTATGTCCCTGAGAAGAAGGATAGAGAATAAAATTGCCTCTTCTACCACAACTGCTGAAGTGCATATCATTAGGATTTCTTTGTGCTCTGGTATTACCCAGAGATACCATCAGCGCTTGAGGCCCTTGTGTTGGGGGACACAATAGTAAAGAGATGTCCTGTAAAGATTACAGCCTACTTTAACTTCTGCAAAACATACCTGGTTAATGTGAAAATGACTGGCTGAGGAAATTGCTCCATTCTGAATTTCAGTGTTTATTGTTCTGTGCATTCTACAGATCGTGTTCAAGTTGGTTGTCGGGAACTGAGATCCACCAAGTACATTTCTGATGGCCAGTGCACCAGCATTAACCCCCTGAAGGAACTGGTGTGTGCTGGTGAATGCCTCCCTTTGCCACTGCTCCCCAACTGGATTGGAGGAGGTTACGGAACCAAGTACTGGAGCAGGCGGAGCTCGCAAGAGTGGAGATGTGTCAATGACAAAACTCGCACTCAGAGGATCCAGCTTCAATGCCAGGATGGAAGTATAAGAACCTACAAAATAACTGTGGTCACAGCCTGCAAGTGCAAGCGATACACCAGGCAGCACAACGAGTCCAGCCACAACTTCGAGGGAACCTCTCAAGCAAAACCTATCCAGCATCACAAAGAGAGGAAAAGAGCCAGTAAATCCAGCAAACATACTACAAGTTAGAAGTCAAACATTCTCTCCTCTCTCATCTCCCTCTCCTCGTGCCAAAACTGAACTCACCTGTAACCATTTGCTTTACCCTTCTGACTGCTTAAAGACAAGTCTGCCATTGCTGTGTTCTCAGTTGACACTACTTGCTTTGACCAAAATCAAAAGGGGCATTCTCAGCATATGGACATTTTGGGTGATTTTCCAGATGCTCAAGATGGGGAATAACACAAGCCTTCCAAGCCCATACTATAAACTTTTACATTTTCTCCACCCATGGAGGCAAAGAAAATTTGCCATGAGTCTTCACTGAAGTCTATTTTGTAAAAAGATGCTTTGTCGTGTGTTTTCCTGAGAACAGTTATCACATCTATTGCCTTCTATATCATGTTTTATGAACTTCTGACAACAGCTTAAAAATACAACACCTTGTATCTGCTTTCAGATTCATTCTAAAAAGATGCTTTGCATGCTCACCTTTCTCTTATCCCAGTATACCAAAAATTAAAATATGCATGGCAGCAATCAAAAAGTAAAGCTGAACAAACTATTTATTTGTTGTTGTAATTATTTAATGAGCTTTTATGTGTGTTATTTCCCTTCAAAATTTCCTTATGTTTATAGCTTTTCATATGTATCAAAGTATTTTCCTATGATTTGTGGCTGGATTAGAACATAATTTTGTAGATAATGTAAAATAGACATTTTAGCATTCTTGGTATATATATTTTAATTTTGAACATTCATAGACATAGGTGTTATTTCGAAGTAGCAACATAAAAATTGTATTTTTCATTCTCCACCCTGTATTATTTTTGTTTAAAAAGTGTGCAATCAAAAGACAGATATAACTTCCTTTCAAATTCATTGGTTTCTTTTGTTTTTTTTAGAAAAATAAACACTGCTAAAAACCTGTATTGTCTGGCTCTGTGTATGAAAATGCACACATTTTTATCAGTCACAACATTCAATCTTAAAAAACGGGAGAATGTTATTTGGTTTAAAAAAATCTATCCATGAAATTTAAAATTAAAACAATCTTTCTGGATGTAAAAATCTTACATGAACATTTAACAGACGGTGCTTATTAAGGGTCCAAGCCAGATTCTTATTTAACAGTTCTCAAGTTGTACATTTCAGAAGAAGTGTATATTTGGGAAGTTTTACAAGCTAGTGAGACACCACCTTTTTTTTTTTCTTTTCGTTAGTGATGATCAAGTCAAAGAGCAATGGTATAACTTACATATGGTTTCATCTTTTCCACAGAACCGGTAGAGTACCTCACATTTATCCACAAATTCTTATAGAATCTATCAAAAATATAAAGTAATTAATCTGCCTTTAAACACATAGTGCATGAATCACTTATTCTCAATCTTTCAAACTATATTGAAACACTGTGAGCAAGATTTCATCACAGGATTCTGCTGTTCTTAAATCATTAACTTTTATAACCCATTTGCACCCAAAGTAAAAGTTACACAAGAGGATAATAATGAAAAGTCTTGCCTGATAAGGTCTCACACAAGCTCTCTGACCTTCTTTTTATCTCATCCTGTTTTGCATTTTAATTTCAAAAGATTCATCATGAAGTTCTTGGCGGAGATCTTTCTTGGTCGTTAAAGTAGTAGAACTGCCTGACTCACTCAATACTTCATTGACAAAATTTAATGATTTTTCCTCAAAGTTACTTTTGAGAATTCTCTTTAAAATTTGCTATTTGTAAAAAAGATATATACTTTTTTATTCAATTTAAGTGATCCATGTGGTAGTACAGGTAAAAAACCCCATTGCACTAATGACCTAGCTATTTCAAATTTAGTTTTGTGATTGAGAAAATATCAAAACGATGAGACCAGAATCCATTTATACTTAAATTCCCTGATCTTAAAGGTGCTTCTTTTAAGTGTAAAAGGAGACATAATGAATAAAGGAGTTAGCAGGGAGAGAAGTGACATGACATTGCTTCTAGGCATATCAGTCCAGCAGACCTAGAGATATATTATTTTTTTATTTTAATAGACATAGTCTCATTCAATCATTTCATGAGAGAAAAAATTTTCCCAAATGCCAATCATCCATTTTTAAATTGTTATCCAGCTACCTGTTCAAGATGACAAAGCAGAGAAGATTGAGATAATGGACCAAAATTTAACCAAAATTATTTTCAAAGTCAATAGCCACTAAAAACCAGTAAAGCTGGCCTACCTGTTCTGTTTGACTCCCAGAAAGTAGAATGGTGAAAAAACCCACACATCTTGCTCATAACTCTTTTCCAGTCATTGAAGTTTTACTGTAGGAACAATATGCATGTTTAATAAAGAGTTTCCATTTAGAAACAGAGATAATAACTTCTCATTTGTCTTTTCATGCAGAACTACCCGAGGGGGAATAATCTGACACAATTCTGCTAAAATGAGTTCATGAAACTTTGCTGGATATGCTATAGAATGGCCATGGGGCCCATCTCTAAGTCTGGCATATTTGAGGGAACATGAGGGAAGCCAGTAGGAACATTGTCCATCAGCAGCAACTTAACTTTGAAGTGCCACCTGAATTAGTTGTGGTCTCTTCTTTGGCCATGACTTTGGCGCTTTGTGGGAGATATCTTCAGGAAAGCAGCGTTAGAAATACGTTAATCTTGAATTTTCTGAAGGAATAATGTTACTCTTTGTGATGCAACTCCTAACTCTGAATACTTCAATCTGACATATACAGTCTGCCTTCTGTTTCATCTGGTTACATGTGAACTCACAGGGATCTATCCAAGGATCCAAAAAAAAAAAGGCATTTATTATATGAGTACATCTAACTAGTTTCTTTTCTGTATGGAGAATCTCCAACATGTAAAGTTGCAGTGAGGAGGAAATGGGCCACTGCTCTTGTGGAGGACAGTGGAGAATCTGGCCAAAGTTTATCAAAGACTCAGTGAACAAAATAGTACTGCTTGAAATAATTCTAAATATGATACATCTTAAGTTTGCTTCAAAGTTAAAAAGGAAAGACAAACACGCTTAAATTTTCTTAGTTTTCACCTAAAATACTAAGCCAAATAGATACAAGAAATACCTAATGTTTTGAAAGAGTACAGTGTAGAGGCAGATAAGTTTTTACATAAATTAGACCACAAATAGTCTAGATTAATTACACTAAGAATATACAGAAGTTGACTTTCTCAGTGATGTTTGATCATATGGGCAGATCGGTAAGTCCAAGGGCTTCCTAAAAGGCATTTCAAACATCTTAAAAAGAACCTAATAATTTTACAACTTCTCATACTTGCTTCTTTAGAAAACTAAAAGTGAATTGGAAATTTATTTTAAATCTGTTAATCTGACATCGCTATTTCATTACTTTTGAGTTGATGAAATCCGCCTCCAGCTAAGTGGTAATTGTTTTATAATGAGTGGAAATCAATTTTTCTTTAGACATCACTAGAAACAAACTTAGCCAGATGCTGATTGTTTTGATAGCATGGTAGCACTCAGAGGCACACTTCGTAGAGGCAGTGGTAGATAGTATGTGTCATTAAGACATTTATCAACTGTGGAAGTCAGAAGGGTCTGACATTTGCAGTCTAGACTAGAAAGGCCCTTGAGAAGTTTATTTATTCAGTTTTTTAATAATAGTAACAGATCTCTTGCTTTCTCCTTTCCAGCAGTCTTGGAATCTAAACCACCCAAATCCAAGCTCAGTCATTTGTTTGGAAATAAAGTAGACATTTGAATAACACCCTTCAAAATACCTAACAGATTTCTGCTAGTAAATCACTTTAGTCCTTCTAACCTTGACCTTTATATCCTTCCTGAAGAAGTACAGCATTAATCAAGAAAGGGCTGTTCAATACATTCCACTGTGAGAGTCTTGTTGCTACAGTATTAACCTGGAGGTGTTCAGTTGAAAATTATAAGGAATCCTTAGAGTTGGAAAGTATCCTATTCTCATGATGCATTTCCTTTCCCCTAGGCCAGGCAAGGGGCTTTGATTTTCAGTTCATTGACATACATACAAACATTGCTCCAGGCTAAACCTAAAAATTCTCTAGAGATTTATGAGTTAAGCAGACATTCTGTCACTGGATTTGTTAATTTTGCCTGAACGTGGCCCCCACAACAAGAGGCTTGCCCATGCATCTTTCTGAAAGACATCCAGCCTTTCAGCTTACTCCTTGTATGAGTTATATGAACTGACACACTAGAAAAGTGTGATTTACAAGTGATATTGCCTACCACTGAGTAAATATTCAAACATCTACTTTCCTCAGTATTTCTATGATAAGAAAATACTATTAATTTTTAATTAATGCTTATTGAACTGCACACCATGAAAATAAGTAGTCTTTATTAATTGCTGAGAAAAATCTCTACAAACGCTGGACTGTAATTCCATTCTGGGAGTTTTCATTTTCTTAACTCAGTTTGGTTTGATGTGACAGTGACATTACCTAGCTGGACTTCAGGCCTTCTTAATGCCTCTATACAATGACAAAGAAATACAGAGGATGTCTTAATAGAAATGAAAATCAGGATGACTTCTTTAATAGGGCTGTTCGTGGAATATGGTATTTAATGAATCCAATGGGGAAAAAAAGAAAAGGAAGTCAGTTCCCTGGAAAAGAGGCCTAAATCAGAATTCCCTGAAACATTAATATAGTTCTGTTTACTAAACCACAACGACAACTGCTGTCAAAAGAGTGACCTTTGCTACCATCTACTTAAGTAAAAAATACTAAACTACCTAAAAATGTTTTGTTGAACACTGTTGTCTGTCTTCTGTCCCTTGCTCTGTTTTAGTCATTTTACAATAGTGTATAATTGTCTCATTGTTTACAATCATAGCTATTCTGAACTATATTAACACGGCACACTTGATTTTTGATACATAAATATTTTAAATCTCTTCTTAGAATGACTGGATATATCATTTTTTTAATTTTGACTACTGAGAGGAAAAGTAATGCTCTGACTTGGTCTAGGAGTTTCACATTTGATTTGTTTTGTTAGCCCCAGTGAGAAATGACTTAGTGAGGAAATTGTAAAGGAATTTAGTAAAAGCATACACCATTCTGTGAAGTCTGATGCTTTGATGGGCTAAAGAAGAGCCAGCCAGGCACATTCATTAAAGTTCTTTTATATAAAACAGTGGAGAGTTGAGGGACAGGGCCTAAGGAGAAAAGTACTTGCCTAGCCCTACCACAAGAACTGCCACTGAGAAACAGAGGGACTATGCAAAGCTTTGAAACACTCTGTAGCACAAAGACTTTGTTTCAATTGCAGCTGAAGCACGTTTAAACATCTGTTGCTTGTTAGATTATTATTTTATTTATTTGTTTATTTATTTATTCATTTAGTTTGGGATGGGTTGAAGAAAGCCATTTTAGGCTCCCTATGGTCATTAAGCTGGGATGGAGAACAGAGGTCTGAGTGTTTCTGAAATGTAAAGCTACAAAAACTTTGGTTTTAGCAAGGAACACTTGCTTTTGGTGTTTTTTTTTCTTCTCCCATTGAAAAAGCCTGCTGAAACTTCTGCTTTTGTGCATCTTTATTGCAATTTTTAGTACGCTAGCCAGAGCAGCTTATAGCACCTGAGAACTGGTTGTATTGCTGCACTGCATCTTTTGTTTTCAGACATTGAAATGTCTCAATTTGGGTATGTCTAGAAGAGGAGAAAGAAGAGAAGATGGATCAAAAAATTGTAACTAAATGACATGTGGAGGACAGCATGGTGCTGTGTCTTCTTCTTCTGATCCTCATAACTTTTCATGAGACTTCAAAAGACTTGTTCTGTTTGCAAAATGCCAAGCCAAACAGTAGTCCATGAACATGCTACCCTTGGTATTTAGCAGACTGCCAAGTTTAAATACACATGGTAGATAACCATTTCTGACTGTCTCTGTGTCTTCATTTCCCATGCAA